AACATATTTCTGTTTTATATTGAATATCCCATTACCTTCTTCTTGAAAAGAAAACGAGAGGTTAGGACTCTCCACTGGTGGTGTTCTCATCTGCATCATGAAAAAAAGGAAAAGGTATAATTTGACTTGCTCTCATATGGCAACTAGTGGTAACTGATAGGACTCAAAGGGTGCAAGTGGTATTCTAAAGCAAGTCTGGAGAGCCAGAACACTGAGAAGGACTCAGTTTTTACTTGTGAGAAAATGAGATTATTGAGTATAAGGCAATCTTTTGGTGAGGACTGCTTGGCCATTGTCATCTGTTGGGATTGGATATACAGTACATGGCAAACAAATGTCTCTCCTTGTCCTAACTTTACAAAAATCCCTGCAAGTGTATGAACACATACATATCCACAAGTGTATGCAAGTGTACAGTATGTGTTCTAAAGTGCAGACAAATAGACTTTCCTACTGTACAACACAGTTCCTGTGAGGAAGGAGTCTTCAACCCTGTTCCTGGAGATCCAGCAGGTTTTGTAGGCAGTGTTTAAATCATACATTTCTAAAGGTTAGGAACAATTTAACCCATGACCAATTAGACAATTTAGTGATCATTTGGAATAAAAATCTTTCAGCCCTTAAGGATCAGAGTTCCCTTCATTGAAATATTAGTTCTTTAATCGATCACTTGCTTAGACTAGTGTTCCTAATCTTTAAATAATAGGCAATTTAGGGTGACCTATAAGAATAACAGGACTGGTACTCTCTATGACCTGTGTTGGTGACTCCTTGTCTAATGGAATTAAGTAATTTATTCAGACATGGATTATTCACAACTGCATTGTTTAACACCAAAAGCTTAGAATTATGGGATGGCTGAACCTTACTTTCTGCATGTGATCCTTCCTTTGATGTTTTTGAATTTTCTTGCTTTGGCCGACCCCCATTTTGGCAGACTTAAAGGACTCAAGACGTCGCTTCATGGTGCGCTGGAAGATTTCTTGGACTTCGTTCTCATCTTTATTGGGAACACTGTTGCTTCTGCTAAACCTGTTTCTGGGCTGAGGTCAAACAGAAAAGGAAACTATAATAGCACTCAGTATAGACTCTGAGTCTAATTGCTGAATTAAGTATCCATAATGCATAGTTATAACAAATAGAATGGCCCTATAATTTCTAATGGTTTAATTCTTTTTAAAACTCAAGGTGATTATTGTTTGGTTTTTAATACAGTATCTAGAAGAATGTATTTTGGGGGAATATCTTTTATATATAAAAACTAGTCTAAAAGGAACACAGACAAAAACATATTACAGTGATGACCCTGAGTAACCATCATAATAATGTAAACAATTGTTAGTTTATTACAATTCAATGTGGCACAATATTATGTTGAATACAGAACCATATATATTATATTTTGAATAATCAATGGCTTAAACACTTTATGAAATTGTATTGTATTGAAACAATACTCTGGTGGTTGCTCTCTATTAGTTTTCCTTTTACTTGAGAAAGACAGACTGCATAATATCGACACATTAAAACCAAGAGCTCCTCTGTTGTGTTATATTTGAAAACCTGGCATAATCATTTGCTGTAGCTGCTTTTGGAATCTGCCGGTCAAAAGATTCTGCTTGTCTGTAGCCCAGGGGTGTAGCTGACCTGCTTCCTGGACTTGTAGAGGTGCTGCTGGATAATGTGATGGGTGTCCATGTCCTCTCTCTGACGACCAGTCTTCTGCCAGAGGTCCAAGGCTTGCATGTCCAGACACACGGAACTGATGTTATCCCGTCTGCAAGAACAGAAAACACTCAGCCTTATTATTGTCGACATAAAGAAATGCCTGCATGATCAAAAATCACAATACAAGACACTGCATTATTAGCCCTTTTGACAGGTTGTCAACGTAATAGAAAGAAAAGAAGAAAAAGCAAAATTTAGAAGATACAAAAAAAGTCTGTCTTTTTAAAATGTATTCTCTTCCGAAATAAAGCAGCAAACAGTGAATTCTAAGTTGTTAAGTACTGTATATATTTCATTTTCAAAGTGTTATTAGTGAGTTGACAGTGCTCCTAGCTTCTTGGTTACTCCCAAAGGGATCTTAATTGTTTTGCCAAACAATGAAATAAATTGTTTTTATGGCTTTTGGGGGCAACTATTTAAAAGGATTTGTTGCTGGAATGATTAAAAAAATCTTTTTGACAGGAAGTATATCGAATGTTATAACCTGGTACTTACAGAAAAGAAGATACCGATGCATCTTCAGGTGTCATTTTAGATATAATCTCTGAAACCTTTGAACTCAGGTTCTTGTTAAAGTCTACATTTGCATCGCTTTCAGACCGTAGGAAGGCCAGTGATCCTTGGTGTTCACCCTTAAACACAAGAGGTTTAAGACAGGGTGAAGAAGCGAGGGAAGGTGCACAAGTAATCCAATACAGAAAAACATACTGTATTGCTGCACGATTTTAGATTTCTGTTCTGTTCATAACCCTGTGTCCATCCTTCCTATAGCCACATTTGCTCTAACAACATGAATATTTTCACTTTAAATAAACATTTAACCTACTGTAGAGAAGAATACAGAATCAGAAAGCTTGGGGTAAATATCCAATAGACTAATGTGCATTTTCTTAACAAAATACTTATGTTAAGTATTAGTTAGGTCTGGATTCTTGACAAAAGGATTAGCTCTTTGACTGTGGAACATGTGCAGAGTTGAGCCACAATATTTCCCCTCTGCATATTATTTCAAGGAGTTTTTGGACTTGGCAAATTGCTCAAATGTGGGCTCCGACTCATGTAATGCCCACAGTTTATACAACAGTATATGAAAGTATATAGTTTAAACAGTATATGAAAGACATGTGCATTGATGATTGATTTTGAGATTGATCTTCACACAATTTAAAAAAGCACTACCACAGCCACTCCATACAGGTGATTAGTTTGTACATATTAATCTATAATTCTGATATAGTAGCATAGTACTGTACAGTATATCACCTACAGTACAGTACAAAAATATTTTCAGATTACCTACCCTTTTAGATATCTAGAGTTTTTCTGGTCATAGCCAGAGCAATTCAGAATGTTTTTATTACCTCTGAGACATAGCTGACAGCATCCTGAACATTTAGGTGATGGTACACACTGAAGAGATAATCCCTTGACTTTCGTACAGAAGGTTTTATCAGCAACCAACACAGCCATTTCTCATCGAACTGCGTCCATCTGAAAAGAACAACCACATGGAGGATTGTGAAAACCTTTGAAGTCTTTAAAACAGTCCAAAAGCTTGAGGCGTTCTCATACTGTATGTCATATGTGCTCACACTCAGTAGAACACTTTTCGAAAGTGTTTTATCTGTCCCAAAACTTTCCAGCTTGATATGGGATTTTATTTTACCATCATAGCATTTGAAATATTGTGGATCCTACTTAGATAGTTCATGTGAGGGCTATACTGTATATTGTAGATTCTGTTGTTTTGTCGGTTTTCCAACTAATTCTCACAGAGTTTTGAAGTCAGTATCCAGGATTATTCCACTGGTGCGTAATTGTTTTAGGATCCAGCACAAAAGCAGGCTGGACATGAAGTTTGCCCCAGTTTGAAGCAGGACGTCTTGCCATAGTGTCAAGAGTTTAACCTGTGACTACCGTATGCAGTACTGTATTTTGCTTAGAATACAAAAGAAAGACAGTCTACAATTTAAAAAAACCTCCTGAACGCTTTCTGCTTTTACTTCCTTTATGCTGCTCATTTAGTTGCCTCATAATCTCCTTAAATCCAACAATCCTGGTTGTGTTCATGTTAATAAGTATTTACTACACAGTATGTCTATAGTTGAACTTAGAAATAAAAAAATACTTAACAATTCACTACAATTTCAACATGCAAAAACCAATGAGAAGCTTCAAAAAGTAAGGAAATTTAGCTTAGGTGACTTTAATTGGGAAACAGCCATTATAAATTAATATGTTTGTGGAAGAAGTAAAGCCCTTTTACTTTTTAAAATTTCTTTCAGAGAAGAAATAAAACTTTTCAATTGTGTAAGTCACAGAGGATTTGTTTCTGTCACACAATGCTGCAATTATCTTCTTAACAAAGGTAATGCATGTTCTCAACTTTGAAATATTAAAAATATTTTGTTCTTCAAAACAAAAAGCATTTTAGAATTCTCATGCTGCTTTTCTGTAATGAACGGTTTCATTTTTCTTCTCAAAATGAAAATATTCTCACTTACTTCTCCTTGAAATAGTTATTGCCGAACTGTCCAGAAATATCTTCGATTCCAACAAGAATGTGGTCAAACAGCTTTAAAAAAAAACAAACAGCAAATGTTCAGGTGAAACATTAAACATGATCACATATTTTTATATATATTTGCTGGTACAATAAATGCAGTTGAGGTACATTTCGTGAAGTAAAAGGCCTTACCCTGCTTTGCAGTTTTTCAACTAGCAGAGGATCTTTGGGCTGACTCCTCTTCACTCTCAGCCAGGTCACCAACGGTTTGATCAGAACTCCCTGCAACAAGTATCAGAGGGATGAGAGTGACCGTACCGTCTTGCTCACGTTTTCTTTAGCAAAAGTTATTTTTGTGATCTGTAGCATAAGGCATTAGTTTACCCTTTACTAGAACTTTAAGTATTATTATTATTATTATTATTATTATTATTATTATATAACATATATAGATGTTTATAATAGTCATGATATACAGAGAGGTGCTGATAAAGTATTGTTAGTGCACTCCTTCAACACACAGAATGGGTGAAGAATTCCAGTACAACTCAATCATATTTGAGACCAATACGCTGCACATTTTAAACTGGAATGCACTTACCTGTAGCATGACAGTGAAGTACACGACGATGAGAGTAGTGCTGATGAAAAGATTCTTCTCCTTCACCTTTGCGTCATCCAGAAGGAACGCCAAGCCATATACCACCCCACCCCGCAGACCACCGTAGCCCATGACCACTTGGTCAATGATGCTTAAGGGAATCAGTCGGAACTGGTTTAACATCCATGTCATGACAAAGACACCTGCAACACAGAGGGCCCACAGTGTGAGCAGGTATATAGGAATCATTGATTGCCCTTGACATTGTTACTATCTGTTAAAATTCTGTGTTACATGCTTGCCATGTATAAATGTACTTATGCCTTTTTTTCTATAGACCACTCCATACCCAGTCATGAGTCATGTCTTTGACTGGTAGCCACAGTACTATTTGAAAAATTAAACACTGCTTTATTAGTTTTAATTAATCTTTTTATATCTATTCTTCTTCTGGGAAGTTTTAGACTGTATTATACTACTCTGTATTTTCTATTTTATTCCACTCCAAATCCAGTCGCTCAATGGAAACTAGAGCTAGTACTCTACCTTTTTCCCATGTGGTCTCACACATTATCAAAATTTTACTAATATTGAAAAATATATGTAAACTTCTTACCTATATACCTGAAAACTAACATGAACAAAATCGTGAGCAGGATAAAACCTGTATTCCACTTCCAGATATGAGTATCTATTGCAGAAACTCCCAGAAAGAAGAAGAGGATGGTTTCAGATCCATTGGCAAATGCTTTCATAGCATATCGGACAGTGTTGACCGAACTCTCATCCATGTTAGCCATGACGTACTTTTGGCAGAAGACGCCATAAAAAGTAATCCTAAAATATAAAAGTTTTAAGTGAAAGTTACGAAATGCACACAATCATCCCTGATTCACAAAATATAAATGCAGCCCTGCCTTGCATACTTTAAAATGATCAAGTACCTATCCATTTCCACATTGCTTCTTATGTCTGGCCAGGGTCTCAGTAACCTAGATACTAATCTGGTTACTCAAGATATCAGTAGGTATTAGGATTCAAGATGGCAGGGCATTAGTCTATCTCAAGGCTAAAATACACAGAGATAATTAAGAATCTCCAAGATGAGTGTAAACCAGAGCACCTGAAGAAAACCCACAAGAAAATGGAATGGACCTATTTCTACAAGCATGTTCTTGGCCTCAAAGAGACATAAGGCCTACAGGTACCTCACAACACTAACCTCCAAGTCATTGTGCTTGAGAAACATGAGTTTCATATAGAGTGCAGATAAAACGTTTGTGAAGGTCTGAGAAGACCTCAGAAAAAGAGTAGTTGGTTACAAAACCACATCTAAACCTATCCACAGTTAGTCAGGAGGAAAATATTCAAGACCATGGTGATCAGGACCAGTCATTCTGCCAAGATCACCACAAGAGCACCCTAGAAAAGCATCCAGAAAATCACAAAGAAGTAACATCTAAGGATCTGCAGACCTCTCTCAAGGTAGCTAATGCCAGTGTTCATGACTCAACCATCAGCGAGAGACCTATCAGGAATGGTTTTCATGCGACAAAATCCAGGAAGAAACCATTGCTTTCTTAATTCATTGCTCTCTAAGTTTCTTAAAATTTGCCAAAAATCACCTGGACAATCTGCAAGACCACCCGAAGCATATTCTTTGGACAGTCAATAGTTTTCTGGCCACAATGAGAAATATTTTTTGTGATAAAAAAACTATATAATGTCTTCCAACAGACGAAACTTGTCACATTCATGAAGCATGGTGAGGGATTGCCATGGTTTGGGACTGTGTTGCTGCCTCGGGACGTGGAACAGCTTGCCATTATCGACGGAAGCACAAATTTGTCATTGTATCAGAAAATTTGGGAGGAGAGTAAAGATTGTTGCACTTTCACTGCACTTCAGTGAAGTTATTCCCTGTGCAGACACATCTTTCTTTGATTTTATTTTAATCACTAAAAAGTGTCCATTTGCAAACTACTCTCATAAAGAGCACAACAGCATGGAGATACAGTACACAGATAAAAAAAGGGAAGTTTGAAGTCAGAGATCCTTATTTTAAAATTATCATTCATGTCTGTTGCAACACATAAGACAATTTGAAAAACTGAAAATAAAAGTTATTTGAGACGTGTGTGATAAGTAAGAAATTTAAAAACTCACGAAAGGATAGCAGATAGAGACAGCATCTCTGCAGTGAGGTAGGCAAGGTATCCCATGATGAAGACATAACCCGGTTCGATGATCTGAACATTTTTGGTGATCCTCGTCAGTAAGGAGATCAGTATTCCAAAGCAAACTCCAATTATGGTTCCACCACAGGCAACAACAAAGAAGGACACTGAATTGAAGGAAGAAACAGAATAAAAATTGTAGATGATTATTTCAGAACAAGTGTGAAATTCAGTTACCTTTCCGCCTTAGACTTGTACTGCAGAATGTTTTATCTGAAAAGATCAATTTGTGAATGAGATGATGTAATAAATAATGCCATCATCCATCAATTGTCTAACCACTTCATCCAATCCAGAGTCTTGGGTGAGCCATAAATTGTCCAGGCAAGTAACAGGCACAAGGCGAGATACACACTGGATAGCATGCCAGTCCATTGTAGGGCACACACAGACACAGACTTGCACACACTGACATCAAGGATAATTTTTCTGGAAGCCAATTAACCTACGGGTACTGTATGCCTTTGTACTAAACATGAACACCTGGAGGAAACCCACATAAATACAGGAAGAACATACAAACTCAATGCAGATAGCACCCCAAGTCCGGAGTAGAACCCAGAACTCCAGGGGGCTGGGGCCAACCACTGTGCCACCCATGATGTCATCATAAAAATTATAATACAGATGTTAATTGTTGTGTATTGCGTAGGGCATAAAAAAGCATTAAAAACTAGGACTATAATGCACAGGAATTCAGCCTCACCTATGCCTTTGATGATATCTGCAGCCTGGATGTTTTCAGCTCCCATCTTTACAAAAGTGTCAAACACATTATAAAGGACCTGAAGACAAAGGTAGAAAGGTATTATAGTATCAAGCAAAAGTAATGTCAAATTAGAAACAATCTACACCAGGACTTCAAGAAAGCTGGTCCCCATGACAAGCATGAATATCACCATATACCTGTTTTCATATTTAATTGTCTTCGATCATTTCCATTTTTTACTATTTTAAAACATTTTTTAGCATTTAAAAAGACGGAAATAACTAATGTTAACAAATGATGAATTTTGGTTTTGTGAAAATATTGTTGTTTTCTGCAAAGCAAAGTGGGTACTTACCACTGTTACACCATCGTTAAGGAGAGACTCCCCAAAGACAATGATATAAAGAACTTCGTTGACATGTACTTGTTCAAATACAGCAATTACAGCAACAGGATCAACTGCCGAAAGCAAACTTCCAAACAGAAGAAAATCTAGTAGAGTAATGTCAAGAGCACCTAAAAATAATCAGTGCACAAGTGATATTTATTACATATTACATATTGTAACAGATATTTAAAATACATCCCATGCATGGCAAACTATCAAAACAACACACCAGAAATAAATGAATGAGAAATGCTTACTGTATATGGAAAATCTTTTTTCAATATAAACTGAATATAGCATTTCTGGGTGATCTGTTAACTATGCATGCAGAATATGGTCTTGTTAAAGTACAATTTCATATTGCAAAAGCTTTGTTTTTATTTTTTAAACGATCAATTAAAAAGAAACAGGTAAAGTTCCTCATTCAAAGAATACCTTAAGTCACAAAAATAAGACAGCTGTTTTAACTAGTCTGAAAAACATAATGAAAATATTAATGTGAATAATAAACAGATGATATCAAGTATAATAACACTTGTTTTGAGAACTTGTATAATAAGAACTTGTTTTATATGCTGCATTCGGATCAAATATCAATTTCTATTTTTAATACATTTATGTACTGAAGGTGAAGTGTAGACCTCATTTGGATTTTATTATGTGATTTCATTGCAAGTACACTTCTGAAATTAGCAGTTCTGATGTAAAATTAATATCTTTATTACATTGTAAAGTCATTAACATTTAATGTCATTAAGTTTATTGAAACATCTCCAGTTCTTCCAAGGTGTATAGTAAAGATGATCAGAGGTCCTAATCATTAAAAAATGTATTTCACTAATCAACTAATCTCAAACTGTGTGAAGAGGAGTCAACATGAAGCATTTTTTACACATTTGGTGTTCTCTGAAGGCTATAGCCAGTCACATAAATGAAAAATAGTGAAAATTGTTCAGACTGTATGTATCATCTGTATTGTCATGGGAGTGGACAACTGTGAACTGTTATGTATAAGTAAGCATGACAATTTCAGATTTTGCCCACCCCTCTTCATCCTACATCTAACAATTGGGATTCTGTGAAATGATGCAAAATGTAGTATAGAGCACTTGGAAATATTTTATTGTTTTTGATGATTTACCAAAAAATCCCCAAGGGCAGCTTTAATACTTCTATGCACACTGGGAATCTGGACCACAAACTTACCCATTGCTCCTCCCAGGTAGCAACCCCACAGCGCCAAACCAATTGTACCAGCCGCCCAGCAGGTACCAACAACAGCAAACAGGAGGATGGCGCCCATGTTTCCGAAGAACAGCTTGTTGGGCATGTGATAGCCTGTCTCCAGGATGATTTGTGGCAGGATGTAGAAGAAAAAGGTCCTTGGTAACAGGTAGAACGTAGGAGCTTTGTCAGCTCCCCATATAATGCCTCCAAATATGAAGCCACACGTAATCAGAAGAGCACTTTCTGGGATATATTGTGTCACTCGGTGGTCCAGTTCAATTACTAGAACAGCAGAGAGAAAAAAATACTTATTATAACACGGCTGAAACGTTGTGTTTTCTTTCTTCTCTTTCCAGCATGGAGTAAACCTATTCCTTGTTCCTACTTATTATAACAGTCTGTCAGTACAGTGACATACGCTTTAGCCCTGGCATACAGTATATCTGGGTGCACTAGGTGGAAAGATATCTTTTTGTAACTTACTGAACATGTTCATGTATTATAGACAATTCTTCACTGGTGTCCTGTACAATTTCCAAGCACAGCATCCAAATATAACTTAAAATCTACACTGTTAATTCTGTATCCTATTAAGGTCTGTTAACCTTTTAATCATTTCCCTCTATTGTCTAAAATAAGTAAATCATATCAACATAGACAACTCATTATCTTGAATGCCTACCCCAGTTTCAAACTTATTCTTTTATGAAGAACTTTATCAAATGCTCTCTGAAAATCTAATCATTCCATATGTTTTTCTCTGTTAGTATCCATTATTTCTGTTGCTAGTTCTTAGCAACCTGAGATTATTTCTTAATTATTAATAATAATTACTAATAATTCCTTACACTTATACAGTGCTTTTAATTATTAGAATTAAATCAATGTTAGCTATCATTTAAAATGTTATTACTATGCAGGTGATCCTGTAACGTACATGTATGATGTAGTGAAGACATCTACTGTACCTTTCATGTAGTTTGCAGACAGGGAGTTTAGTCATTTAATTTGACAGCTTTCCATTGATATTTAATTTATTTTCTCTTATTTTTTTGTTTTAAATGGGTTTAGATGGATTAAATGGTATTTTGCCTCAGTTTTTTCAAGGAAAATTGTTGTTATTATTATTAAATAATGTATTAGATTACAAAGACAGATTTCCTAAAAAAATGCACTATGTACAGTATGTAAAAAACAGTATTGCATTTCACAAATTAACTGTACTGTATTGTTACAATTGTGTCATAGAGAGAATGATGTAATGAGAGTTACATCATTACCTAGCATATTCCAGAAACATGTTCTAGAATGAGTAATGCAGCTAAGAAGTAAAGACATAACACAAAACTGTAGGTGGGCTCTGTTGAACACAATAAACAATTAAATTTAGTCCGTCACATTCTCTGAATAATTTTCAATTGAAGGAGTTATTATTTTTCACTACAGTGATGTCAAGAGGTCTTTATCATTGACATGCATATATTTAAGTAATTGACTTCACATACTTCATCAATGCAATATTTATATCCTAAATACTGTAACATATGGAATAGTGTGTTCACATCATAGGTTCATTTACCTTTTCTATAGTTTAAAAACAGCCTTTACTTCATTGTGCTTACAGTTGCCATGTTTTGTCTTGTATATATTATGTACTGTATATAAATATAAAATATGTATAGGGTATATAAACATAAAATAATAATTTATTCAGATACCGTATCAACAAAACATATTGAAATGTGCTGATTGATATTTTCAGGTTAAGTCATATTTAAAACAGAATTCACGGTCATAATTCTAATGACATTGCCAAAGGCTTTTGTGAGATACAAACAGCTCCAGAGGTACTTATACCTGCAAAACGATAAGGACAAACGTATAACATTTTACCATTACTATTTTACCATTTACTGTATGTGTTATATGACAAATCACATGACGAAATCACATACCGAGTTTGCATAGCCAGGCCACCAAAATCCACAAAGCCACCAGGTAAGGTTCCATGACATGCTCCCATTTAAAGGTCACAATCTGGAAGGTGCTGATAATGTCTGCTGTTTCGTTGCCATTTCCAGCCTGTTCATTTCTTGTCGAGGAGTAGGTACCATTGGGAATCCGGCTTCCTCTTAGTGTGTCACTGTCTACTAATGTCTCACAGCAAGCTAGAACTAAAAGAACAACTGTCAGTTTTAATCGTTGGGGTTCCATTATACAGCTCTTGTTAATTAACTCCTTAATCAGTGAATGCAATTCAGTGTCTTTGTTATTTTCCTGTTGTGCCTTCAGTTGTCTTGATCTCTCATCATCTTGTCAACTTTTGTCAATGATAGATTCTCCAACTTCTGTCATTTGTCATGTCCACGAGTTACAGTATGAAAAACCTGTCTGAGTGATTCTTCAGCTTAATAGCACAAATAGCAGAACAGGCAATGGTGTTACTGGTCACCCCATTGAGCCAGTTAGCCCTTTTATACCACAGGTAAATGTAGGCAGGGCTTTGTCTTCAGAGGCATTGTGGATAGAGAGGACAGCCTTATCAGTGCTGTGTTTACCATGCAACCACACACGAGAATTGCCTTTTCAAAGACGCAGAATATTACTGTCTCCAAATCTCACAGTAAATAAGGAAGGACAAGCAGGAATATAATTTAATATTTCATCAAGCAAGCCTGTCTTTAAAGCAAAGTACTTGTAGACAAAAATGAAGCAATTTAATTTTACTCTGCTTTATCTTAATGATATGTGAATATATAATTGATTTGGAGAAAGCTTGGAGTGTTATACTGTACATTAGACATAGAAAATAAAAAGACTGATTTAAAATTTAAATTGTTCTTCAAGATTATAAGCAAATCATGTTCATGGATATAATAAGAAGTAATCAAATGATTTTGGATCCTGTTTCCCATATTTCTAAATTTAAATTATTAAGGAAAACGTTATTTATATTTAGAATAACACAAATTGTGAAGATGTCTGCAGAAACAAATATAGTATCACAGCATTAATATTTAAAACATGTTTTGACCAATCTAAATTAAATTATGATAATACAGTGTATGAAAAATAAGGGGCTTTCTGCAGGTTCAAGGGGATTGTTCCCAATGCATTATGAGCTATATACAGAAAAACAGAATCAGTTAAGCTTTTCACACTGTATTGCTTGCTCTCATCTATGGCCTTTTAGATAAGACCTCATTGTAGACAATCCAGATTTAGGCTTAATGATCTATGAAATAAAATTCTGGTACTCTAATGACACCTGTAAACACTTGGCATATGACTTCAGCTGACATTATGCTTTCACCATATTTATTTTTTTGAGACTGATGAGGAATTTTCAAAACAGGGAGAGTACTTTACTGCTATGTCAAAATCCAGTAGAATATGGCTGTGAGAGTGAGAGAAGAGCTGTGAAGTTAAGCCATCTAATGTCATAGCACTGAAGTTTTTTTACAGGTGTGTCTTAGTTTACATAAAACAAACATACAGTATGTTAATAAAGACTGAAATGGAAGAACAAGAGGTTCAGATTCACTTCCTGGTTTCGATGTTTCCTCCAACCTGAGCTGTCAATTAAACAGTTAACCAAATTACACAGGATTTTAATTAAGGACTCTTTTAGTTAATTACTCAAAACATTCACTTCATTAAAGATACAGTTACTTACAGTATAACGCACCTCAAAGCCTAGGATTTAAAATAATGCTGTGAAAAGATGTGGAATCAGACTCCAAGGATGCCTTTATCATCTTAAATTAGAATCCAGTAATTGCACAGCTATAATTTATAAGGATTTATATCCCTAAACCCTCAATCTTCTTTTATGGTGGGAACTTTGAATCAGAATTTGAAAAGATAAATGTATTTTAGCAAAGCAATTATTAATGGAGGTTCTCATGTCACTAGTGATAATACCACTGATCAATGGCCTTTTAAACTGGATGGATGGAAAGAAGATCAGGAGCAAGCAACGTCTGAATAAAATAAAACCCTTAACGTAATTAAATTATGATACAGTTTTCTTGTGAATTTTGTAGTATTGCAGTAGATCCCGCTCCTTTAACATATTTATTTTGGTTTCAATTCAGGTATTTGTGTAATTCTTTCAGTTCAGTTACTCTATGACGCAGCCTATTGATAATTTTGTATTTAATTACAAAGATTACAGGTATGGAAATTTAAAATACAAGACAATGATTTTGCCATAAAGGTCAGGATATGAAATTTGTTTGAACAAACTGAAAATTAAATCAATTTCACAGAAACTGAAATGTAAAGATGAGAAGGGAAAATTGGTACGGTAGGTATCATTAATGATGGAAAAACACACACATTAAAGAAAGCTTCAATTTTTATTTAGATTTGGCTTTGAAAAATGAAAAAGGTGGCTTGTGAGTAAAACTAAAATGAAAAGAAAGAAAGTTCTTCAAAGATACATAATAGAAGAAATGTCACAAACATTTGTGCTTTTCACAAAACAAAGATTAGTCATTATAATAATAAACAGACTGATATTCACCAGCCATGTGACACAGGTTTTAGGCTGTTACAACCATACTTTTTAAAAACTGATGACAAAAATCAAAACAAAATTCACACAATCCTACATAACAATCCTGTAGTTACTTAAAACAAACCAGCAGGTGTAATTCTGAAAACTTTGAGCAGACTGAGTACATAATTCTTCAACGCATTTTGTTGTTACTCTTTGCACTGGAAGGTTCCAGACTGTCGCTTGCTCTATCCAAGTACTGTAGGATGCCAGTACTAGAAACCAATATGTCTGGAAACAGGACTAGCTTCATGCATTTTCCTAAAATGGGATCTATATATTGTGAGCAAAGCATAAGTAGAAGGTGGTCTTTGCCTCACTAAGATTGCTCTAGTGTAATATCCATCCTTCAGCTGGGTAAAAGTGTGAGCATCCTTGAATAAATATTTAAATTCAATTCAAATTCAAAATACTTTAAGCATTTTAAGTAGCAGGCAGTACAACATACAGTATAACACATAACAAATAAAACAACATTACATAGAAAAAATATACATAGCTAAAAACAGATAATGGACCATAAAATAATAGAAAGTAAAAGTGTAATATTATGAAATATTTAAGTCAGTAAGTAACTGTGTGTAATATTGCGTAATATATAAGAAGGTATGTAACAGTGTGTAATATTTAAGAAGGTAATTAAATTCAATCAATTAAATTGATGATAAGCGATACTACGTCTTTTACAGTTTCTTTATCAAAGCCTTTAACTGGATAAGCATCAAATGGAAAATGAAGCAAAGACTTTTGATCTAGATTGTACTGTATATGGGATGAAAAAGTGTTTGATAACGCCAACTTCCAGATGAACATGCTGCAGAACTATGTTTAAAGCAATCACTGGAAATGTCAGAATGCGTATTTATTTAAAAAGGTTCACAACTATGCAGACAACAAATAACAAGTTTATAAAATTCAAATAAGCAGTAGTTCCAGTTTCCCGGAAGTATCTGCAAAATACTTTATATAATGTAGCAGCTCCCCACCCTTAGTAATCCCTAATTTTGCTTTCTGGTGGACTCTGGGGCCTTTGTAACTTTTTTGCTTTCTG